CATACATACCTTTGTATACACTCACACGCAGAACATACATACCTTATATACACAGAACATACATCATACACTCACAGAGAACATACATACCTTTGTATACACTCACACGCAGAACATACATACCTTTTGTATACACTCACACGCAGAACATACATACCTTGTATACACTCACAATAGAACATACATACCTTGTATACACTCACACGCAGAACATACATACCTTGTATACACTCACACGCAGAACATACATACTTTGTATACACTCACACGCAGAACATACATACCTTGTATACACTCACGCAGCAGAACATACAGAACCTTGTATACACTTTGTACACACGCAGAACATACATACCTTGTATACATCACACGCAGAACATACATACCTTGTATACACTCACACGCAGAACATACATACCTTGTATACACTCACACGCAGAACATACATACCTTGTATACACTCACACGCAGAACATACATACCTTGTATACACTCACACGCAGAACATACATACCTTTTGTATACACTCACACGCAGAACATACATACCTTGTATATCACACACTAGAACATACATACCTTGTATACACTCACACGCAGAACATACATACCTTGTATACACTCACATAATCATTTCTTACACAGAAAAAGCTTTCAAGAACAAACATTACAAGAGACTTTCATGAACATTCTTCCAGTGAACTTTAGAACACTAAAATAACATTTAAAGAGAGACATCCCTTGTTTTATTTAACCTTTTCTTACTTAAATGCATGCTTTCCTTCACATCGTTTTTTGATATTGTACATCTTGTTAAATACCTATTTTATGTGTAACAATGTCTTTGGCTTATCCCTTTCTTCATCAGCCCTGTTTCCTAATCTAAAGTTAAATTAATGTGGTGAAGTCTGCCACAATCTAATTGTTTGTCATTCTTATTTTAAAGCAAGATTTTCTGCCAGTCCACTTTTAAGTAAACCTCAGATTAAGTCCTAATAACTTTCCTGAAACTTTGAGCATTAAATTTTCAAGAGATTTCATGTTATGTCTGTCCTTTCTTTTAATCACATCAGCTGTATTTTAGAGATAAAGCAACCAACCATTTTTTGTGCTAAAGTTTGCATAATACAAGGCCCAAGAGCCACTCAAGGTAGAGGCTTACTGAATGAGATCTGTGTAAGGGAAGAAAGTGAAGATTACGAGGAGGACAGCAGAGATAACTGCCAGACCTTGACATTAAGAGAATAAGATTGTAGTGTTCTGGGAAACATCCACATTTGTGTCTGTTGCACAAAATAGCAGAATATTCTTACCAAATGAATACATAGGAATAAGGGTGATTTAAACCTGTGGGTGTTGCTTGGCTATAAAGGTCTTAACTCACAAGTCCCATCACCCATTAGGATTTTAGGAACACTACAAGTACTGTAGCCATAGCAACAATGGTGTGACGAGCAAGATAGCCTGGAGAGAGTTTAGCTCTCTCCAAATGATTCAGTTTTCCTTCTCCTAGAATGGTTACCAACCAAGTCTATATTGTCTTGTATGTCCTGCTATTTAATAGTTGTGAAGGGAGGAGAGATGTACTCATACCATTTTTTTGAAGGGTATTTGTGTGTAAATAACACAAGTGGAATTCAAACTAAACACTTTGATTTTCAATTCAAGCCTCTACCCATCCAAAAGTCTGAACTAGGACTAAAGAATGGAACATTTGCTAGGGAAATAGTGAAGGGCTTGTGATGTTGTATTTGAAAATTCATCTCCCACAATGCCAGATAAATGTTTTTCGAACTGTTGAATATAGAATGTAAGGACTGTTTGGTTTGATATGACCCTTCTCAAGATAGATCATGTCAGGAGGAGTCTGGTACTTTCTAGAGCAGTACAACGAGCTAGATAAGGTTTGATAGTGCACTGAATGAAAGTATTTATTCATTCAAAATACATTCGTATTAATACAGAACTTGGGCCTATAGTACAAATTTGTGAACTGGTTTTTCTAATTGATGAGTTTTCTTACCTGGTCTGAGTACTCAACATTGTCTTTCCATCAATTGCATCCTATAACATTAACCATAATACAATAATTCATCTGCATAATGGGGCAATCCGTTAATAAATTTTAGATGTTTTCACAAATGAAGTGAAGGAAGAGACCCACACATCAATTTAGTGGATTAGTAGATTGATTTGTTTTTGTTTTTTAAGGGTTATCAACCTTTTGCAGGTTATTTAAAGCCAAGAAATATTTTTAGATTATAAGATATTTTGGTGATGATAATGATTTACTGGTACAAGTCCTACTAATTAATCCATAGATAGGTGGAGAAGATGTGGATTCATACCTTTCCAAAATATATTTGTGCATAAGTGAATATAACCAACCCAACTGGAATTGGAACTCGGCTCTCCAACTTCCAATTCCAAGCCATTATCCATTGCACCACCCAAAGATCACATACCAATTATTTGCATTATTTAAACATGGACTACAGTTCTTATCTTTGTTGTTGTTATCACAATTTTTTGGCTTTTGTACCTTTCAACTTTCATCAGTTGTATGTCTATTGGGATAACCTACAGAGAATTTTGAACTCCTTGCAGTCACCCATCGAGGTACTGATGTTGTTTAACTTTGGGGTTTGCACGAGAACCAGCTTTTCAGCATGATATGGCTGTAAGCAATGGGTTAGTAAAGGTTGCTTTTTTTTTCTGCCTAGCTAACCTGGATCAGCCCTTAATAATTTTCCAGTCGTTAAATCCCTGCAATACTGGCTGAATTGGTTTTAAAAAAAAATGAATGCATGATGTTAGTGAAATTAAATAGATATATCTTAAAAAAAAAAAAAAAAAAAATACAATGAAAATATTACAAGTTGATTATATGTGAAAGTAAATTAATTTCAGTTTCAGATGACACCAAATTTAGCCTCATATGGTTTTTTAAATGTACCACTTTCTAAAATATGTAGATTTCTGTTGCCTCTAGTAGATCATATCATATTATCACTCTGTATTAAAATACAAACATCTCAACAACAGACTAATAAGGGTGTCGGAGTTATCTCCTCCTTAATTCCCAAATTTTCTTTAGGGGTCTCTCTCCCCATACTATAAATACTGGGCGACTTCTTGCCTCAATCGCTTTCCTTCAGGCCTTGTGCCGCATACCACCTCACGTGGAGGTGAGGTAAATCCTCTTTTTTATTTCTTCATTTCAGGGAATGCCTCTACATTGTGAGCTCTCACAAAAGACAGCGTTTCCCACTTTTGGGAAGATGCTATGAACATTACAAACATATATGTACGAACATTCACCAAAACATGAACATTAATCAAAGAACAAACACAAATGTTCGCACACAAAAACAAATGTTAACTTTCTATGTGCTTTGTAATTTGTTGTTAATACATATATTTGTTTATATATATATATATATATATATATATATATATATATATATATATATATAGGTCTTGTTTGTTTGTCTTTTTATCTTCAGTTGGACTTAATTCAAGTCCACCATTTTCTTGTAGCTAGACCTTCTTCTAGCAGGAAATATAAACGCACGTGTTTTCTTTTCATCTTCACCCACCGGTCCTCTACAAGGAGACTGTGTTGTCCATTAAGGTCAAATCTCAGTAGATGGGATGGGATTGGATTATTTTTGAGTTATAAAACCACTATAGTATCGACCAGTAGTTATGATCATAATGTAAATACTATAAACATGTCTGTATAAATAATAGATTTCTCACACATGAGCTAATGTATCGTACTTTATATACTGTACACCCATTTTTGTTTACAATTGAAAGACCCACTACTGCCACCAAGCAGTCATGTTGAGAACTAATACAACTCATTCTATTAAGCTCACAAATTTTTTAAATATATCACTGGCAATTTAGAAGCTTTTTTTTTTTTTTTGTTGCATATTTCTTTTTATTTTGCATGCAGATTTTTGTCCGTTGCATCCGGAGTCCATTGATGGTGGGGAGGACCGTAGATGAGAGGTTTGTCTGTACACTGCTACCAAATTATGGACACAATTTGACACTCTAGGATTGAAGGCATGTTTGGGTACTCGCAGCTTTAAAGAGTCAAAAACTCTTATATTTTTTGGTGCTGTTTTCCCCCTTCTCAATATGTCATTCTCTTTGATGAAAAGTCTGTAATTTTTCTTTATAAAGAAAATGAAAAGATTTTAAAAAAAAAAAAAAAAAAGATTCAAAAGAAAAAAGATTTATCTGTATAAGTCAAAATCAAATGTATTTTATCTATTTGTTCTATCCTTGAAAAAAAATATTCTTATTTATAAAGAAGAATTGTGTCTTTGAGACTCTGTCAAAAGTTATTCATATTTATCTTTTGCTGTTTGTTTCTGGCAATTATCATCAAACATAAGCCAGCAATTTCATTTGCAAATAAATGGGAATCCAATTTCTGACAGCTCAACATAGTTCGTTCATCTAGAAACATTTTTCATATTAGAAACATTAAAAAAGAACCTAAAAACATAAGGGATTATAGTCAAGCAGTTTTTCTAGAGCATCCCAAATAAAGTTTCTAGTGTTGGCACTGAAGCTAGAGAATTATCTATATCAAATACATATACAAGGAAAAATTATTAGGTTAGGTCATGTATAATTTCAAATTTAGTTTATCAATTTTATTATATAAAGGAAAAAAAAAAAAAGAAGCTTAATTACATTTTATTCAACTATATATTATTTGCAATGAGTTTAGAATTCCCTCTAGATGGACATACACTGAATGAACGCCAGAGGGTACAACAGCCAAATTGTGATAAAAATAACAAAAATGAGGTCAATAGGCCGTATGTAAATAATTACAATGATTTCTTGCCATTTATCTCACATCTCTTCAATGGTTCTAGGACAATTAGCCGACAGAAAAAATGGCTGATAGGGACAAATGCCCAATGTTTATATGTTGAATATTTAGATATTTTTGCTGCTATTCGAAATGGTAAGTTATAGATAATAGCTAACCATTCCATTTCCCTTTTCATGGTGATGAAGAAACCGTGCTGATGGGAGGCTTGCTATTCGTCAGATACAAGATGATTTTGAGAATGAAAAATTCATCCTGGGTATGACTATAAACGACATCTGCATCTGCATCCTGGGTAAGACAATAAACTGTCCTATCGCAAAGCCTCTGATCAGAAGGTTTTGAGGAGTGCGGAACGACCTCTTAATTGCTGGTATACCCACATCCACCCTAACTCTGGGTGGTAGCACCTGTTAGGGTCCCAGCTATGGTCAAATAGTTAATCCCCAAACTGGGGTTAAAACACAATGAAAGTGTAAAAATAGGTTTTAATACCAGAAATACTTTTTTGTAAAAGAAATTATTACCAGGAATACATTTTTGAAGTAAAGAGTATTACCAAAAATAGATTTTTGAAGGAAAAAATATTACCAGCAACAAAAATTTTGTCAGTGTTAAATAACACATATGTCGTAAACCAAACCAACCTAGAACGAAAAATTGTCATGAGTCTGCAAGAGTTGGTTTGTTTAATATAAAATCATTCTTATTATTAGTTTCATTATTGCTTTCTTAATCAATATTTAAGATTATTATTACCATTTGCATTATTTATATTATTGTTAACATTATTATTATTGTAACAAAACAGTGAAATGATAAAGAATATATCAAAGGTTTAAAGCTATTGAAATATACTTTTTTAGTATGATAAACAATTGCCAGTGAAAATCAGAAGTAAAGAATCAAAATTTCTCTCTTTCTCTCACTTCAAAAAATTGTTTGTATTTTTCAGTATGTAACATGAGACAAACTGCTATTGCACTGAAATTATACTATAATTTCCCTTTCGAATGACAGCAAAAATATCTAAATATTCTAAATATATATATAAACATTGGGCATTTTTCTGTCAGGCAGTTGTCCAAATACCTGACAATACATTTTGAATAATATTCTGCAGCTTTTGATATGAACAACTTTTTTTTTTTTTTTTGACAAATTCTTGATTCAGGTTTTCATTTAAAGAAAGTTTTTCAATCAAAACATTTTGTAGCAATTTTAAAAGGTAATGAGTTGGTTCAAGATCAGGAGAATATAGCAGGTGGGATAGAACCTACCAACTTTTCTTGGGTTGTTCTTGCTGCATGCAGTCTTGTGCTATCATGGAGAACAATATTTTGCTTTTTATTCACGGTGTATGCTGCCACTTCTGTCCAAAAATTAACATATGTTAGCATACTCCAAAATTTATTCTTGACTGCCATGTATTATTAATAGTTCAGATGGCACATTTTTCATTATAATTGATTCTCAATAACTAAAATTACTTCTAACTTTTTATTGATCTTTATCAAGTTAATAAGAAAAATTGATATAGAGAATATTGTCCTGGCTAAAGTATGTCATTTTTGATAAATAATCATATAAAAATAAGCATTATAATTTTAAAAATTTACCTGTGACTCTCAAGGAATCAGACCTTTCACACCACACAGATCTGCGTTTCATGTGCCACTTGCTGTATCTCCACTTAAACGTGTAACAATTTTTGGCATGGCATGGCCGACTTTCATATAATTTCTTTGGACAGGGCTCTGATCTTGAAGCAGGATATGCAAGAATGGCTCGTGATCGACTCTGAACTCCTCGCTCATGACCTAAAAATAAAAAATCTGAGATACAATTTTACCTCAATCCGCCTCTAATATGGCAGAAATAAAAATAAATAATTAAATATTATTTAATTTTTATTTTTGAAGGAATTTACTGAAAATGGTTTGTATTAAATTGAATTTAATACTTATTAGTGAAAATTACAGCCTGACAAACAAAATGGGAAGATATTTGTCAATCATCATTATTGAGGCTCAGCAAAATATGAATGCATGAAATGAAAATTAAACCTGAAAATTTATATCAATATTTTCATAATTAAGTTGTATGATACAAAAATATTTTACAACGAAATCTTGTCAGCATTATGTAAGTTAACTTCAAAAAAATGTTTATTTATGCATTAAAAGTGAATTTAATTGTTGAGAACACTTGTCTAAGTAAACCAGTGTATAATAATAATTCCTCATCTCTAAACTTCAGACAAAAATTGAATATACTTCGAAATTTTGTCTGATTATAAAGTAATTTTTGTATACAAAAATACAGGGTGAACCAAAAGTAGGTGGACAGTAGGTTGAATAGGGTTAGTCTTATATTATAACTATAAGAGCAGTCTGTGAGGATCTTGGTGATCCATTTCCCAAGAAATGAAATGGCCGAAGTGTTAGTGATTTGAAAAAATTATATCAGATATGCATTTCAAGAGATTAATACACAAAGATGTTTGTGCAAAAATGTTTGTTGTGGAAGGTAGATTTCAAATCTCTGTAAAGTGTGAAAGACAACAGTTTGAGCATCTCATTTTCATTTCCAGTGGTTTTGCATTGTATTATTGTATACAATAAAATTGAATTGTATATGTCATAATTGTTAATCAAAATTTAATCATATCAATATGTAATCCCAAAATAAATGTTATCATTTACTGTCCATCTACTTCTGGTTCATTCTGTATATGCTGAATATTCATTTTTATTTTATTTTTTAAAACACTTTGAATTGAAAAACACATCACACATTCTGAGCATTTTATACCTTGACCACATCACCAACAATGCAGTAAAATCCAGCAGCACACTGCCCCCCACTCACTATAACAAAGACCTTCTCACTACAGTGAAGAAAAGGAAGCTGAGATTGTATGGCCCTGTAAAGACAGTTCTTCAAGGAACTGAGGTGGAACATATTAGGAGGAAGAAAAGTAGAATGACCATTGAGGAATGGATGGAAAAACCATTCATGGAGACTCAGACTCTGACACAGGACCTCAAGAGATGGAGGAGACTGATAGAAAGCTCAGCACATTGGCACCCCAATGATTCTTTTTGGAGTATAGATGAAAGCCAAGCCAATCATAAAAATGTATTGAGGTGAGTTATCTGTGATGTGCTCAGATTTCCTTGTGAGTTTTGGGTTTTACACCTCACACTTACTCCACCAATAACCTGATCTGCTTTGGCAGGTATCCAGCCCTTGCCTCAATCAACATGGTCAATACAACAGTTATATGAATAGTTGAGGTTTGTCTTAATGTAAAAACCCCCAAAAAAACAGTAATTATTTAAAAATAAAAATCCTAAGGATTCTATATTCTCAATGATTTTTTTTTAATCGTTCATTCCATTCATGACTTTTCTTCAAATTTCAGGTAAGTCTTCTCAACATTGTTTACCTGGTTCTAATAGCTTCACAGTTTGATATATATATTCAAATTCGATCCAAATTAGATTTTCTCACTTAACAGGAAATACGTAGAATGAGGTGAAAAGATCAGCAGTTCCCAGATTATAAATATATTGAAATTGGTAATCTGTTGAACCTGCAATTCCAAAAGGTTAATTATAAGGTTTTAGAGGTTAACTATTAATTCTTTGGAATATTATGAGCAGTTTTGAAATAACTATCAAATCTCCTTTTCGTAATTCAAAGACATTGACTTAACTAAATTGTTTATAATGAAAGTTGAAATCTTCAGATCACCTTCATTATTTTTTTCTGCACTGGGGATAAATTATAACCAATTTGGATTATTTTGTTAAATTAAGAGTTTAGTTTATATTAAACATGCTGTTAAAATTTTAAAACATTTTCAATTTGCTTGTACATTGTTATGGATCAAATAAATATGAAAAAGTTTTGTAATTATCTCCAGAACAGCATGCGAAGAAAACCCACTTATTGAATGAGTTACTTTTTCATTTTTTTTCTTGTTTTTTTTGTTTGCTTTTTTGTCCTTTTTGTTACTTGTTGCTTTGTGTTCTTCCCTTTTTTGTTGTTTGTTCCTTTTTTTTATTGCTTTTTCTTTTTTTTTGTTTGTGTTTGTTGTTGGTTGTTCACTTTTCTTTTTGCCGTCGTTGGTTGTTCGCTTTTCATTTTGTCATTATTTTATTTAAAGTTATGAATCATTATCATATTGTTTTGAATATATGGACAAATATCAAAAGGACAGCATGTCAAAATCTGACATGACTTTCTCCAATAACAAGAATAACCAACGAATAATGCTGATCAAGATTTCCTTGGAAAATAATTGGATTTGCCTTAATTAGTTTCAAATCAGTATTATTTAATTAAAAATAATTATAAAGAATTATTTCTCTTTGTGTTAGGAAAATATTTAAAGTTGCAGCTATTCCTAAGAAACAAAATAATTGACATGGTATTTTTTTATCTTTCACCAAATTTGCATAGAGAAAAGTGTCTGGCTATCTAAAAGTCAGTTTAACAATATTATTTTAACTGTAAGAGTAATTGTACTTGTATTTAAGATGACAGAAGAAAACCCTGAAGTTGTAAGCTTACCTTCCGTGTCCTGACAATTAGCATAACATTCGCTCCACTCACTCCAGCTAGTCAGAACACATTCACCTGGACAGCCGACATAGCAAGTTTTCTTTGTCTATATTAGGAATATTAAAAAGATTATTAGTTATTAGGCAAAAGGATAGTGATAAATGATGTAAGTAATCATTGCACATGAAATAACATATATGAATGTTTTTTCTCTATTTTTCTTTTTTTTTTTTTTTTTTTTTCTTTGTTTGAATCAAATAAAATAAGCATTTCCATGGGCAACAAATACTTTTTGAACTTGGTTATTTACATAGACAAGAAAATATTTGTCACTTTTCCACTGTCCATGACCACCTTTCTATACAAAACACTTCAAAGTTTGGTGTAAAAATTAAATAAGCAGAAATACGAAACATTTTTCTCAATTATCCTGCTAATTGAATTGTATAAAGACTAATATTTTGCCCTAAAGTAATTAATCAATTAAAGGCGTCTCCTTTTTGGACATTTTCTTTTTAATTGTCATAGAGGCATAAATATAAATGCTTAAAAATAATCCTTAAAGCAAAAAACAAAAATGCTGAAAGTAATGATTTAATTAAATAAAAAAGACATAAAAATTAACTTGGACATTTTCATACAAATGAATGTTGGTGAAGAAACCTTAAAGCACTTGAAAACAGTTAACAGACTTACAAATGCACTATTATCACAAAGTGTAAAATCATTACCTATACATTCTGGTTATAGTTGTTTGTCTTAATTCATACTAAATGCAATTTTTTTTTTTTTTTTTTTTTTTTTTTGTCTATAGGAGAAATTTGGGGAAGCTTGTAACCAATTCTAGAAATAATTTATGTTATACATTAGAGAACAGTTTTTTTTTCTTTTTTTTTTTTTTTTTTTTTTTTTTTAAAAAAAAAAAAAGCAGCAAAATAAATGAATAATTTTATCTGTGATCGGTGAAAGCCTAAGGCACTTGCTACTCTTAAGTAGACAGCACCCGGAGACTCTTAGATTTGCTTTCAATTTTAAAAAGTACTCTGGCTCTTGGGTGGAAGTCACAAAGGGATTTGCCCATACATCTGGAATTCCTCTCTGGGAGCAGTTCGTTATCACACTATATCAGACATGAAGGTCCATTTATATCAGAAGTTACTGCTCTTTCACTACTTCCATAGAAAGTGCACAGATGAGGTACATTCCTTGCTTCCCCCAGACCTAACCTTCATGGCTAGGACTGCCATGCCACTCACATTGTAGTAAGCCACCCATATTCTCTTCATATTCCATTGGTGAGAAGTAAATTTCACTCAGCTTCTTCCCACAAACCACTACTCTGTGGAACAGACACCCAAGAGGATGTTTCTCTGATCAGTACAATCTTAACTGGTTGAAGTCTAGAGTTAACTATTACCTTCCCCATCTATCTGTATAAACTACTCCTTAATATAACCCTCTACACCAATAAGTCCTTGGTGAACTTTACTATAAGAAAACAATTTAAAAAAAAAAAATATTAATCTTTTGTTTTCAAAGATTAATTATTGATATTCTTATTGACGCTAAATGCAAACTCTCAAGCATCACATCAATTCCCAAGTTCTTATTAGGATCATAGGGCCACTGCGGCTCATTGCTCTTCAGGCTGGTTTTGAAATACATTTTCCTTCCAAAGTACAACAACTCATGGCAAGATAGACTGAGCAGCTATTTAACCCATAACTAGGGGGAGAAGAGATAGATTCATACCTTTTCTAAGGTAATTTGTACAAAAGTGAATATAATGAACTCTGCCAGAATTCAAACCCAGCTCACCAATTTCTCTTTTTAAATCACAGACCATTGCACCACCTGCACACCTGTTTACCCTCTAGAACATCTTTAAAATATGAAGTCAGGAAACATGAAGTAATAGGTGTGTGCAAAAGTTTCCAGAATTTTTTTAATTTATTTAAAAATAAAATTGCCAAAAATTCTGTCTTCAGTCTAGAGTTTTCTAAACCCCACAAAAAATTATTGGAAAATGTTGAAAAAAAAACCTAATAATTAAATAATATTCAAATGCAATATAGTAAGCAATGTTTGTGGTGTTTTTATCAATTAAATGAATCCCATTTGAAGAAAGTCCACAATAATAGATTATTATACAGAGGGATGCAAAAGTAGGTGTCTAGTAAGTATTATACCATAATTGATGTTATTATGGATAAGTTTGAATACTTTTTGTGTGCACATTTCATTTCTCATTACTATATGCTTTTGCACACACTCTATATTAAATGTAATTACAGCTATTTACACTGTACAATGGCAAAAACATTGCGAATATGGTAACAAAATGAGGACAACAGTCCAAACAATGTAAATAATTATAACACCTCATCTCAGAAATATAGACAGGTAATTAGAGCTAAATGAAAAAATTCCAATACATTTTCCTAATTAGACATGAGAGTATTTTTCTAATTTAAAAATTACATAAGACATATCAGATATTTGCACCTGTCCAAGAACTAACAAAAATGTTTTCCTCATAAAATATCTTCTATTTGTTTCTTTATGAATTTGTGCTTTTCATAAGAATTTCATTTGAAACCAATACTAATAAAAAAATTTAATTTATTAAATAATTTTCCATAAATACAATTTTAATTATATTCTAAATCTTTTTTTTACAGCACAAAAAAGCAAGTATGTAGCTATTTTGAAATAGCAAACCTGGTGTATTTAGTATTAAATTAACTTTAGCTTCCTGTTGATACCTTTAAGTATCAAACTAGATGTTTTGTTTATTTTTTTTAATAAACATCTCTTTTATGAGCAAGAAAAGTTGAGTAAATCTTAAGGAACACCAGGAAAGATTTAAGTGCAGTTTAAGCTAGATGAGACATCCAAAATCACTTGCTGGTCTATTGCTATTTCCATGGAAAGTGTTCAGATGAACTACATTCCTTAGTTCCAGCAGTTTGTGACCCACCATGCCACACATGTTGTAATGAATCACCCTCATTCCCTTTGTATTCCATTGATGAGATGTAAGTTCCACTCAAATAGCTTCTTCCCACAACTTGCTATTTTGTAGAACACACTCCCAAGAGGATGCTTCCCCAAACACAACAAACTTCACTTGTTCAAGTCTAGGGTCTAACGTTATCTTTACCACATATATCCCCACAACCTGTGCCTCTTGCTTTGTAATGCTTTGAGTGGCTTTTGGGCTTTGTATGTGGTGAGTATCATTGTAAAACCAAAAAAAAAAAAAAGAAACCAGCAAAAAAGTTTAAATGAGAAGAAATAAAACAAAATATAAAAATGTTAGTAAATTTTATATCTGACCATATCACATTGAGACATTGATTCCCATACAATCACCAATGTTAAGCAATGTTCAGCCTGGTCAGTACCTAGATAAGTGACCACTTAGGAATACCAGATGTTGTCAGCTTAAATGTGCAGGTGGTGTAATGAATAATTGCTGAGAATTATTAATCGGAGGGCTAAGTTCCAATTCCTTTTGGGCTCATTATATTTACTTAATGCCCAAGTCCCCTTAGGAAAGGTATAAATCCACCTCTTCTCCCCTAGTTATGTGTTAATTTGTAAGGCTTCTATCACTAATATATCTTTTATATTGTATTCTGTTCTAGTTAAGTTATATTAAAATGTCTTTATTTTCTATCTGTTAAATTCCCTCATGAATAATTTAAGCATTCATTTAAATAATTGATTCTTAAAAAACTTAGCAACCTGAGTAATGGTCAAAATCTGTAGTTGCTTATAAAAAAAGATTTTCTGGATAATATTTCTCATACGATTACTCCATAAAAATCAAACAACAAAATTATATATTTAATATCTTACTTTCTGAATCTTAGATTATTTAATGTGAACATAATTTTAGAAATTGTACAAATTTCATCATAGATAAGACTTTTTATTTTTAAGCTTCTTTCTTTCTTTAAAACAAGAAAGAATAGCAAGTTGTGGGTCAAACACACACACATAGCAGTAGTAGGTTTTAAGGCTTTGTCTAGCTACCTGAACCCTACATTTATGTAAGTTCAAGTACATCTATGCAAGTTTTGATCACAAAACCCTTCAATCAGGGCCCATCTTTATGCTACCCCAGGGGATGATACAAAAAGATGTTGGACTCTCTTCACTTCCATGATGTGAACAGACAACAAGGACTCATCTGTCCACCTTCTGACACTATATATGCATTACTTTTTCAAAAGCAGGACATTCATCATTCTATAACAAAAAAAAAACGTTCACAAAAGGTAAAACTTTTCTATGCTGTATATTGTTTCTCAGTAGAATAAATGTTATATCTTGTATATGTTTGGCCTATTCTTATTCTTTCCTTAGACTTCTCCTTAATTTCCACAATCATAAATACCTGTACCTACCTTAATAGCAGCTATGCTTCGGTTAGCTCTGCAAAAAGAGTCACCAACTTGCGTTCGGCCTTCTCCAATACATGTTATGTTCCTTGTTTGTACTCCATGTCCACAAACACCTTTCTTGAAAGAAAAACAATCATGTTAACATTTTTAATATCATGAAAGAAAATTTTACCAAAATGAATTGCTAAAGTTCAATACAAATATTACTTTAACAGAAAAAAAAAAATTCATCCTGGGTATGTTGATAAACTACATCTGCATTCTGGGTAAGACAAACTGTCTAACAGCAAGGCTTCTGATCAGGATGCTTTGAGGAGCGTGGAACCACCTTTTAATTGTTAGTGTTCCCATGTCCGCTCAGACTTGGGGTGGTAGTACCTCTTAGGGTCCTTGCTATGGGCAAATAGTTAACTCCCAAACTGGGGTCAAAACACTATGAAAGTGTAAAAATAGGATTTAATACCAGAAATACTATGTAAAAAAAAAAAAAAAAATTACCAGCAATAAAAATAAAAAAAAAACAAACTTGTCAGCATTAAATAACCCATCGAGGTTGATATGCTGTAAAATAAAACAAACCAAATCAACCAGAAAAAAAATAGCATAGCGTACTCAGCCTTTCATATTTCCTTCCAACTCATTTATATGTAAAGCAATATTTTCAGAAACTGTACAATTACAGAAAAATGTTTAGATAAATTGCAAAATTGTAAGGCACTTCAGACATTTCAATAAGGAAATGCTGTATTAAAACACAAATCTGTATCGATTCTTTATCATGTATTCTTGATTGCATATATCTGAACAATGAAACATGATTAATAGAAAAGTAAGACCCAATCTGATAAAGAATTTTTTTTTTTTAAATCAGTCTGCCAAAGGCTAGAAAGCAAGAGCCAGAAATATTAGATATTTATGAAATATGCTTGTAAGCAGTTTTACATGTGCAGAATTTGTTGCTTCCAAGATCTTTATAATTATGCAGTCTTTGATTGCATCATAACACAAGATGGAGTCTGATAACAACAAAGGAATTAACAGAAGGAAATAGAAAATTCAATATTTTTTTTCTTTTCTTTTTTTTTTTTTTTTTTTTTTTTTCAAATAAAATTGCAATAGTGTAAACATTTTAACATTTTAGTCATTAGTCATTTAGTGATAAATCATTTAAAAATAGATGAGTTTTTAGAATGTTTCTCGCCATAAAAATAACTATTGGGCTTGTTTAAGTTATTGATGAGTTTAATGTTTCATTTTTTACAAGTTGACAATTTTTTTCTAGTTTGCTTGAAGAGCTGAGTAATTGTGAGATTAGCCATTTCCCTACAGGAAACATTCAGCATTCATTCACACAACAGTTAGCATTATCGTCAGTTGGAATTTATAAAATGTTTTTTCTGAAAACAGGGAAAATAAACTTTTTGAGTTCATTAATAGTCATCACTCTATCTAGCATTGATTCCTTTCAATTTTGTAGTATGGAAAGTCATCATCTTCATTATATCATTGTTTCCCCTTCTAGCTATATTTGCTATCCATTTTAGTTGTTGTTGTTGGAAGTCTTTAAGTGATGTGGTTTTTGTTACTTGGTAAAGCTCTTTGTTGGTAATTATAGCAACAATCTATGAGACCTAATGGCATCATTGTCTTTATGACCTAGCAGGTTCATTCTCTTGAAGCCATTGGGAGTTAACAGGAACAAAAGTTAAACTGTTTTCAATGGTTAAATAAAACTTGCTATTTGTTTTGACAAGGAAGTAAAAAAAAATATTTGCATTAAAATCTGAAAGTATTCAATATCTGCTCAGATATAAAAAAAAATAGTTGACAAATATTTATATTTGTTTTATGAATATTATGGAAGAACAAGTGCTGGTTCCTATCTTGTATGGAATGGTTGCAAAACACTTTCCTCTCCCCAATTTATAGGCAGAAGCACACAAATGCATGCTGGGATTTTTTCCTAGCCAATAAGCCACTTCTTGGTGACATCTGACCCAGTCTTGATCTATCTTGTCCTGATATCAGAATGCTATGTTCATTTGTATGTCAACCCCAATTCTCAGCTTGTGAACTTTTTGCTATATTACAGTTACTTTGCCTTGTACATATTGTTTACTTGCTTTATACTTTATATTATCTTTGCCTCATTCTTTGCTTTTAGATTTCTCAATGTATATTGCAAACTTTGTGAATTCTGTTTGTTGGAAAATTCTGCCATTTTATTTACATTTAATCATGGCCACTTACTCTACAATAACAAAAATATTAATGACTCCCCAAATGTTTTCTAAATATCTGATTACATAAATCTTACACCTTTATGCAAGATTTTGTTTCTGTTAATCTATATTAACATGTTTTTATAGTATGCCCAATGCTTCCAGAATTCCTTCTCTTAATTCATATCACAAATCCATTTTTTTATATGCCATATACTTTCTGTAAATGGGTGATCATGGCTTTCAACAACATTCTTTTTGATTCTATACCATGCCTCTTTATTCTTGTTTGACTATCTATTTACATGGAATTGTTAAATAGGCAACTCAATCTTTTTTCTTGCTTTCAGTATATCCTGTGAAAGTTAGATTTTCCAGACCTTTTTTCCTCATTACACGTCCAAGAAATTTCAACTTAGACAAGAAATCATTTATATACTTACCATAACTAATATTTAATTGTATATTAGATAATCAAATTTTTTTTTTTTCAAAGTCAGGAAATTGCAAAATGTAGAAGTAAAAGACAGACAAAAAAAATTACTAAAGATTTATGAGAAATTTAATTCTGGAAATTCCATTTTCAGTATATTTTGTCTTTTATTATAAATGTATAAAAATTATATATTTGATTAATCCGTAGTGGTAACATTAACCTTTTTATTAGGAAAGTTTCAGCCTTTATTGACCAAGCAACCATTGAGGTTTTCAGTAGAAATTTATTAAATCTTTCTCTTAAAACAATTTTCTCAAGTCCAGTAGCTGTTATTGCTCTTTCCAGTATTGATGGGGGTTTCGTTTCTAACATTTTATTTGAATTAGTATAGAGTATCAACAAAATGATTATCGTTTCTTTTTTTCTTTTTGAGTTACATATGATATATATTTTAGCTGTTGCTAAAATTCAAGTAATGTGCTATTTAGTACAGTTCTTTGTGATTCTTTAGCACCAGTTCATAATATTCAAATAAGTGTGTTCTTCACTCTCTCAAAGCCACTTTTAACCATCAATCTGAGAAAGCTGTTGTATACAGCTGATAGTTTAGATATTTTTAAACAGGATTGGTGCCATGTATGACATCTATATAAAAAAATTCTGGATCTGACAAGGCTATTTAAGAATAAGTTTTCAGGTTAATGTTGGTTTTGTAGAAATTTGCTCTGTGTAGAGTAACTTCAACGGCAATGGTAGTAGTAATTTTGAATTATGTTATTCTTGCACCAATGAAATACAAATACAGAAATGCTCTCAGCCCCTGGCCACTCAGCTGTTTATAAAACACTGGAGGAGGTAACATATCCTCCAGTGTCTGCCTGTGGAAGTCCACCATTATCTTGCAAGACCTTCCATTTCTACTCTAAACTCTAGTGCAGCCTATTCTATGTTCAGTTTCTTTATTTCCTATACTAAATTTGTTATAACTGTGTCATACACCAAGGTATTGAAAGTTTTTGGTATATACTAATTCTACAGTGTCACAAAGCCCTGAGGAAGTTGTTTACACTTACTTGTTTGCGAATGATATTCAATATATATATATATATATATATATATATATATATATATTTTTATATAGAAAAAAAGAAAATCTAGATTTTATGGTTGCAGTAAAGCCAAATCAGTTGAAAGCACAAGCTCAATACTTACAAAAGTGTACTGAAAAGTTCTTTCTCTGATTCAACTCTAAATTTTTTTTTTTAAAAAAATCCTTTCTTGGGTAGATTGAAACCTTTTAAGCCTCTCCTTTGGCATGCCAGTCGTGATCTTTCTTTTTTCTTTTTCTTTTTTCATTTCTTTTTTTTTCCAAAGCATGATATTTGTGGCAGAGTAAAGAGAAGAAAAATAAAGTGAAGCTAAAAATATAATATTATGCAAGAGAAACAGTCACTTTGGAAAAATAAGAAGCACTATAAATTGCACCTCCTCCCCACCCCCAGACACTGAGAGGGTGAAAGAAATGAAACAAGTTTACATGTTTTGTAATTACTCCATTATCTATCCTTTTCTTTGGATTCAAACATCATACCTCAGTTTCATTGTTTAAGCAAAATTAGTCTTAACCCTACCTAACTCTCTGATTGTATGTAATGCCGAAATCTAAATATTTTAAACACAATTATATGGCTTCAATTAAATATATACTATAAATACATATTGTTGGTAATTTTACTATTGGTATTTTTTTTATATAAAAATGCATTTTATACATTCATAATGTATTGTTTTTGTTTGGGTTGGAGGGTCACTATTTGGTCATAGCTGGGACCCTAACAGGTGCTACCTCCTCGGGTCAGAGTGGACCTGGGAACAACAGCAATTAAGAAGTAGTCCCACGCACCTCAAAAATTTCAATCTCTCAGTTAGGGGCCTTGCTTCTGAAAGTACTTTGTCATAACCAGGACTACAACCTCTATGAGTTTGAAGCAAAAATAACTTTCCCCAAAGTCATCCTAATATATATATATATATATATATATATATATATATATATATATATATATAATCAGATGCAATGAACACTGTTACCAAATTCTCTTTTCCCCTGTACTTTTTCTCTTTCTGACTAAAAAATATATAAGGGGAAATGAAGTGAAAACCATTATCACATGTTGCAGGCATGGGTTTACTATTATTCATACAACTACAAACTAATCTTTGTATAATAACTACTATTGTACTTGAATTAATCCAAATTAATTGAAAAATATTCAAGTGTATTGTTAAGCATTCTTTTATAAAATTTGATTAAGGTTAGTGTGCCAAACCATGTTGACCTTTTGTAAGCCTGATTGGGGGTCCCAGGCAATCCTTTCTGACCCTCACTATCTTATCAACATTTGCTTTTTACCTACCTATATTTACATACATTACAAATTAAACTAAGCACAACTGACTATTAAAGGATGAAAACTTTTCATGCATTTTGACATAAATTCTGGGTTTTTGTTTTTTATCCAAATTCATGAATTTATTTTGTTTATGCTAAGTCCCGACACAGCACTATATAAAATTTAATGTTTTATCCATAATGATGAATGTGTTAAAATTATTCAACTTTTTAACAAGAAAAATCTCAAGTTGATATTAAAAATTACTGAAAAATATTGTTGATTTACTTAAAATTGAATGATCTGTTATGACATGTCTTTAAGTTGTATTTTGATACATTGTATTTATTTTTGATTTTTCTTGTTAAATTGGTCACCTATATTGAATATGGTACATTACTGTACATAATTAGGTTATAATAAAATTTGTATTTCATATGAATACTACTTTAAGAAAAATTGAGATGTAGTAGAGTGGGAGGGTCTGTGTCATAGATCCTTGCATCAGCTTTGAATTTCATTATAGTATAAATGGTTACTTTGCCTACTAGTTTCTCAATATTTAATAAATAGCCTTCCTGAAAGGTATACATTTGAGTTTCAAATAGATGAATCAAGATGATTATTTATTTACTTGAGAAAAATCAACCTTATTTTTAATCATCCTTTTTATTACAAAGTAGGCACAGTGGAGTAATGAATGGATAGTGGCTCAGACTGAGTAATCAGAGAGCTGAGTTTGAATTCCAGTTGAATCCATTACATTCACTTATGTTCTAATACCCTTGAGAAAGGTACAAATCCTCTTCTTCTCCCCCCAGCTATGGCTAAATAGCAGGACAGTCCTATAGCTCCGGATGGCAACTGGTTTACTGCAGAAAGAAATAGCAACCTACTGGGGGGGGGGGGGAATCTGCCTCGTCAGTCATGTATCAAAAGATACATGATTGCCTAAGCATGTATCACGCATGGCACATAACTGACTGACTTTTATTAAATATTCAAGAAATTTCTTGCCACTTATTAATTTAAGCTGTGCACATTACAAGACTGTTTAATTACTAAAAAATTCTAGCTATCCTTTTTATTCCTACTACCCCATTTGTTTCAAAGCAAAGTGCAAATGATCAGCTCAATCAAATGACTATATTCATTTCCTAGGCCTTAAATTATTCTAATAAGGATACTTCTTAAAAAATCATTCTTCTTCAATATAAAAAAGATATGTAATTAACTCAAATGGCAGATAAATATAAAAAGACATATAAATCAGTGACAAAATCTATTTAGATAGCAAGTTAACAGAAAGATAACTTTGTCTAAATTTTTTTAGATTTTTTTACCTCAGTAAAGCATTCAGTCCATTCTGTTACATCCCATCGGAAACATCCTCGTAAAACACAGGGTTTTGTTTGTATTAACTGATTGGCACATGGACGGCCAAGACCAACTGCTTCTTGCAGAACATACCTTTGGCGCTGTGATGTACCTGAAACATGAGCAAATCACAAAATATAAGTTAAATTGAATTTAATATTTTTCTATGCAAAAAAAAAACAAAAACTATCCAGTTTTAAATTTTCAGCATCACAAAAACATGCATATCAGATAATCTGGTAGATTAAAATTCAAATCGACAATGAAAAATTTGATTAGAATTTTATCTAGATAACATGAAAATGTTAGTGATTTTGGTTTATTTACCATTTTGATTAAGTTTTATTGGAGATGCAATGCTTTTTTTTTTTTTTTTTTTAAATTGTTTTTGTCTTGTGTTTACTCTGGGTATGACAATAATCTATATCCTGCATCAAGACCTTTGATTGGGAGGCTTTGACGAGTGTGAAACCACCTCTTAATTGCTATTATTCCCAGGTAAACTCTGACTGAGGGTGGTAGAATCTGTTAGGGTCCCACCTATGAGCAAATAGTGAATGCCCAAACTGGGGTCAAAACATGAAAATATAGAAATTCAACAGAAAATTTACCAGGAATACATTTTTAGGAAAAAAAAATTTTAAAAATATTACCGAAGCTCACAAGAAAATAAAATTTCGGTATTAAATGACCCATAAAGAGTTATGTTAATAAACAAAACAAAAAACTAAAATTACCGTGTTTTGTGCACTTGTTTCAAAGATGGACATACTGTCAAAATATTGTTAATTGCTGCATCTTTCATTTTCTTAAATCACTCTCTTTTGGTGTTGCAATATATCGGAAAAAATTACATCAGTCATTTTATTGATGATTATTATTGTTAAGAATTTCAGCTAAATCTTTCTTACTTAGTCTTGTATTTTATTGCAACTCTCTGTCATTATTCTATAATTAAGAAAAAGGTAGCATTGATCCAAAAGAAATGGTAAGTTTTGAGTATAAATGCCTTATAATTGGGAACCTCTTACTGTGACAGCACCTTACCAATTAAAGCATAAAAGCTTCACTAGTATTCAGCATTCAAATAAATCATATAACGGTATTCTTTCTCCAATTTCCATCCAACAAAGATAAGAATGAAAGTTCAAGTCACCCCAGAGGCTTAATTCTTTCTGACTTGAATGGCTTATATAATGATCATAGAATAACAAAACTGGGATTTTTACTAAAAAGTAAATAAAATGAAAAAAGCTAATCAAAGATCTATAATATCAGACACAGTGTGACTTTAAATATCTGCCATTAGCAAAGAAGAATTGTTCCCCAATTTACTAGTGAAATATATAGTTGCTATGGTAACAGGAGGCATTATTCAATGTCAATAAGCAAACAAGTCTCATGTTATCATAATGAAATATATCATGATAAAGTAAGAGATTAGGATGTTAATGCACAACTGTTTATTTTCATATTATTTTGAACATTGTTGTGACCTTGTTAGGGACAGAAATAATGTCAAAAAGAGAGGAATTTAGTTAAAAATATATATTAACAGAAACAGTAATACAAACATATAAAAATGAGTGTTACAGCTAGAATGTTCGGTCTGTGAGAGCTGACGGCTGGAAACTTCCCTCTCCAAAAGGCAGTACCTGCTCCTATTTATTGATGGGAGAGTACATGTGTGCATGGGTAAATTACCATAACAAATATATATATATATATATATATATATATATACAGTATTAACTTTGCTTGGATATATTTTATGCATATTATTTTTTCTTTTACATATATATATATAAAGAATATGACAGAATTATAGGATAAGGAACAAATAGGAAATATTTATAAAAATAACATGTTTTGCTTTTATTTCAGCTTCATCAGAAAATTAATTCTGATAAAGCTTAAATAAAATCAAAACATTAAATTCATTAATGTTTCTCATTTGTTACTCATCTCATCCTATCACACACACACACACACACACACACACACACACCCTGGCAGGCAGTAATTGAAGAAATCCTCTAAAGTTCAAAGTTGAATAACATGTAATATTAAAAGTGATTTTCATTTGTAATGTGCAACAGTACTTCATTACATATGTTCTGGCTTATGGCTATGTCAGGTTGAAACACCAGTTACCATACAATCACTGAAGTTAAACAACATCAAGCTAGATGGGTGACTGCTTGGGATACTATGTGCTGTTTTTCTGTTTCTAAATACACTGATTCATTTTTGTAATACATCTTTGGCTATCTCAATGAATCTTCGGATTTCAGTGTTGCATATATTTAAAGCTTTGTACTTGTTTGATTTTGGTATTTGTATTTTGGTCTCATCCTTTTGCTAATAACCATGAATTCTGTCTTCTTTAACCCATAAATATGGCATACCTTAAAACTATATTTTATCATATATATATATATATATATATATATTTGTCATTCACAAACAATACTGTTTCACTGTATCACAGCTCCTCAGTGCAACTAGACAATCAAATGCCTCAAGCCATGATCGAAACCCAACTGATTTGATGTTAGTCAGAGATTCTACCACTGAGCCGTCTTCACTGGACAGAACAAGTCAGCCAAATCCAGCGTATCATTTTTACAAATGTAAACAAATGCCACACAGCCATATATATATATATATATATATATATATATATATATATATATATACTATGGTGAAAAAAAAATATTAAAAATATCTCCATTAATTCTTATATATGACTTACCTTTTTGTACTATAAGTTTATATATTTTAGAGTGTTTTCTAATTTTAAATTTTAGTGTTATTTTCTGCATATTACTTCTGTGTATAAATACAGATTTCTAAATAAAATTACTACACTTGCCTTGATAAAGTTCCTCAAGGAATCAAACACATTGCCATAAAACGTTTTTCTTGTCATTTCTTATATACATCTTACTCAAAGAAATGACAAGTGTAAACCTTATATATGAAACAATCAAATTAAATTACAATTATTTTCACTTCTGTGGATAATATAATAAAAAAAAAATTCCAGAAAACTCATTTTTGAGTATTCATTTTTGAAAGTGCTGTAGTACTATTTTTACTGCTTTCATATTGGTAAAAAATGTTTTGACTGTAAAATTTCTCACCTGCAAAAAAGATCTTTCTTACTCCATAGACTTGACTTAATCAATTTTCCATTTTTTTTCTTCTCCATACTGATTTTTTTCTTTTCCTTTTTATTAAGTTTGTTCTTTGTTGTCCCTATCTCATTGCATCATGCTTATATAGTCTAGCATATTTTGTCTATCAGGACATCTTTGCAAGTTTCAGGTTTACACTTTGCAATATGAAGATGAAACTTTAATTTTTTTAATTTGTCTGCTCCACTTTTCTGTCATGTTCTTAGTAAATTGGAATAAATGCTTATCTTTATAAAAGAAAATAAATTATTTATTTATAGAGTAATTGATTCTTTAGAGTGCCATCACTGCCCAACTCAATTCACTAATTAAAGTCTAAAAAAAAAAAACAAAAAAAAAACTAAGTTCTGTTGGTGACTTATAAAATATGCGTTTCATTATAATCTTAAATTAGAACAGTAGAGTTTAACATGCATACACTTGAATTTAATGGCAAATACGTAAGTACATTAAGTTCATTATAAGGAAACTTTTAACATTAAGTGAGTGGCCAGTGCTGCTTTCAGTTGAAATTTATAAAATCTTTATCTTAAAACATTTTTTTAGGAAAATAGATTTCTCGAGCCCAATAGCTGTTGTTACTCTTTCCATTATTGATGGGTGGGGAGGCTTCCTTCCTAACCTTTTATATGAAGTAATATGAAACATTATCATATTGATTACATTTTTTTTTCTTTTTGAGTTACATGTGATAACCATTTTAGCTGTTACTGCTGTTGGAAGTCCTCAAATAATGTGGTTTCTATTATTTGGTGCAGTTCTTTGTGATTCTGTAGCATCAGTCCACAATTTTCAAAGAAGAATGGTCCGTTTTAGCATCTGGAGGATTCATTCACTCAAAGTGATTGTATATAGCTGACAGTTTAGATATTTCTGAATGAGATTGGTGTCATCCCTTGCATCCAGACAAAAGTCTCAAACTGACAAGGCTATTTAAAAATATATCTCAAGTTTTCAGGTGATTTGTAGCAATTTGCAGTGTTGGGCAAAACTGACCTTAGCACATCCTATTTTATGTTCAATTTCCTTTACTCCTATAATAAATTTGTTATAACTGACTCATAAACTGAGATATTTGAACTGTTCATTATTGACCAATTCCATATCATGAATTTTTATGATAGATTCAAAGTATGTGCCATCACTGCTTTCTTTTCAATTCCATTAGCATGTAAAAAAAAAGAAAAGTGTTTATTTTACACACATTTATTTTAAACATAATCCTCTTCCTTGTCAATGCACCTACGCCAACACTTGTTTTCTTACCAAGGAGATCAAACAATATAGTGAACATTTCTGATTTAAAACTGCTAATACATGTCATGTTGTTGATTGATTTGTCCTAGTAAAGATCATAACAATGTTTTTTATCTTTAACATGAATTTGTGAATTTTCTTCTCTCAACAAATTTTATAAATTCATAAACCACAGACAGAATTACTCAAAAATTAAGATTTTACAAATTCTTTTTTTTTTTTCAGTAAGGCATACCAAAAGATTTTTAATAAAATACCATTAAAAGACTTTTGCCGACATCAAAAATTTAATAATAGCAATAAAAACATGTTTAAAAAGAAGAAAAATGTTAAAGGAGTAACAAAAAAAAATTACATTACTGTAAAGTGATAATACTCCAATAAATTAATTTCAATTTTGCATCTTGATATTACCAATTTATGGTGATATAATTTTTTTGTTACAACTCTCTAATTATATTTTTTTTTGTTTAAAACATCCATTTTTATTCCTATTATAAACTTCTGTTAACATTACCTTGTAAAAATATGGATGAGAAATATTTTGACAAGGAGGGAGGGGACTAAAAAGTAAAAATTTGCGTCTTATGTGATAAGTCGTTTAGCTGAAGGTACTTAACTCGTGTTTTCATTTGGCAATAGTTAAGTACCTTCTTGACCATGAGATAAGCATTTTCTGAATATGTCACTGTTAGTAGCTGTAGCAGTTGTTCTAAGAAAAAATTTTCATTTAAATAAACATTTTTTGCTTACGTCATTCAAAATGTTTTTATTTAATTTTAATAGTTTATTTATTGTATTCTGTTATAAGAGTTATTTAGTCACTTGAGAATATAAAAATTATTGAAAATTTAGGCTTGGTTGTCTAAGTGCTCCTTCCAGACTAGCAAACATTTTCAGGATAAAATAGAATGATTTAGACTGATTTTATTTTGTTGTTATTCAGCAAGATCAAAGACAAATAATGAAAGTCTTCCTGAATAGTCACTCTTCTAGATCCTTTTGTATTAATGCAGGTGTCACCCCAGGGTTCTGTCCTTTTCCTATTTTGTCCTTAATTTTCATCAATAACCTTCCTGATGAAATCAGCTCTCAATTTGGTTTCTATGATGACGATGCATCCATTTACTCCTGTCTTGATAGTAAGTCTGATAAGTTTAAATTTGCAGCTGATTTCAAAAATAACTGCAGTCAATTGTTAACTGGGGCAAAGAATGGCTTGTTAATTTTAATGTCTCCAAAACAAAACTGATCTCTTTTAATCAGCTAAGAGATCCCTTTCTGTTTTCTATCAGCATGGCTGATAGAGTGACTCATTCTGCCTTCTCGGGATAACATTCTCAGCTGACAGAAAGTGGAAAGACGATATTGAATCCATCATTAGGTCTGCTGTTAAAAAATTTGATTCACTGTGTCATACAAGACAATTTTTCTCTTAAGAATTTGTCTTACATAACTATTAGCTTACCATTTGTCCATACTTCAAATATTGCTGCAACATATGGTCTGGGGCTCCTGCTATGTATGTAGAGATTCTTGATAACATCCAAACAAGAATCTGCAATATTATTGGTCCTGACTTGGCATCCCATCTTCAGTCACTTTCCCACCATTGTAAAGATGCTTCCCTATTCCTTTACTTTAATACATTTTGTTCGGATGAGCTCTTCACAATGCTACCTAGACTTTATGAATTTAAGCACCATCTAGCAACAAAGTACCATCATTTTACAGCTGAATTGGTTAATTTCTTAAGTTCTATGCTAACAGTTTTTATTTTTCTGGCACTTCTCATTTGTGGAATATACTTCCAACTCCATGTTTTCCAGCCAGCATCAAACTTCAAAAATTGAAATGCAATGTCAATCATTATCTACTGTTCTGTTATACTTCTTTTGTTCTCACTCCTTAGTAATGTTTCTCTTTTCTGGTTCTTCCAGACCCAGTGACACCTTGTGTCTTAGTGGCATTACTGCCTTGTAAGGGGTGAAAAATAAGTGATTCTGCCATTCTATTCACATTATGGTAATTTGTAATGATAAAAAAAAAGTAACTTGTACTTATTTAAAACTGTTGTGGTTGGTATTATATCCAAGACAGAAATATAAGTAGGAAAGATTATTTTATAAAAAAAAAAACAAAACAAAAGAAACTCACCTAATCCGCATGCTTTACTGCATGGTCCCCAGGAGGACCAAGATGATAGTAGACAATCAATATTGCGGGGAATTTCACAGAATTCCTGCAGAGTGAACTGTGGTTTCCCTGCCACCTGAAAAGAACAGAGAATGAAAACCATTTAGTGAAGTAGCTATTCTAATTTCTATTTTCTTTTCACAATTAGGAAAAAAAGAAAAAATAATGTACAGTTAACCCCCACCACTTAACCTGAATCTCTGTCATACTAAGCATATAATAGGTTTGTGCCAACCAGCTTTAGATAGCTTTAATGCCATTTTTGTAACATTTCTAATTTTTTTTTTTTTTTTTTTTTTTTTTACTGATGTTCACCCAGACCCAAGAGCTACTCAGAGTAGAGGGTTACTGTGTGGTGTTGTATGAGGGTAAGAAAGGGCAAGAAGTGAAGTTCTTGGGGCTATGCAGGAACGATAACAGTTCTTGACTTGAATAGGTTAAGATTGATGGAGTAGTAAAGCATAAAGGAATGAACAGACTTTGGAAGGAAACAGGAAACAAGGAATAAACCCCTAGGGTACTGAAAAGTAAACATAATAAAAAAAATTATTCTGTATATTACTTTATTACTGTACTGTAAATGCAGTACAAAAAATTTGTATTCATTTTTCATTTTATTTATCTTTGCGATTATTTATTTTGAAAAAAGAGTAAACAAAGTTTTTGCTCAGTATACAATACCAAATGGTTAGATTTTTATTTCGTTTGATCAAATTTTATAACTGGTTATAATTAAATACGTAGGTAATTATTTATAACAGATTTTATAGCTAGTCATTAAACAGGTGAGTGAGTGATAAATGGATGTATTCAAAACTGGTTTTGTTAATTACAACTATACAGAATTTTGTTTTCTTTCATGATCTTTGTATCTCTCTCTCTCTCTCTCTCTATATATATATATATATATATATATATAACCAAATATTAATGGTGATTTATGGCCATATGGCATTGAAAACACTGATTCTCATACACTCACCAAAGTTAAGCAATGTTGAGTTTAGTCAGTACCTAGATGGGTGACTGCATGAGAATAGCAGGTGCTGCAAGCTTGGAATTCTAGGGGTTATGAAAGATAATGGCTCGGAATTGCTAAATTGTTGGTTTCAATTCTCATTGAGTTCATTATAAGGTATGAATCCAGCTCATCTTCCCCCAGCTATGGGTTAATTAGTAAGACTTGTACCCCTAAATCATAATCTGCAAAAAAAATTCTCATAATCTAAAAATATTTTCTGGCTTTAAATAACCTGCAAAGAGTTGATAAGCCATAGATAATGAATCAATCAATCAAAAAAAAAAAAAAATGATGGCATTCAGGAAACATTTGGAATTCATTAACCGAATGGTGAACATTACTGTTTGTTGAAATTTATTGATTCTTTGAAAATTGTTTTAGGTTCACTGTTATCACTATTCTTAATATTGATGGGACTTTCTTTCTAAATCTTTTCTTTAAGATAGTATAGAAAGCCATTATCTTTGTTATATCATTATTTTCCCTTCTAAATAGATGTGATATTCATTTTAGTTATTGCTGCTGCTGGAAGTCTTAAAGTTTTGATTTTTTTTTTAGTGGGGGGGATAAAGTTTCGTAATTTTGTCATGCCAGACTAGATGATTTGATTTAAGATTGTCTTTTAGTTATAGGATCTATATATAATTTATATGTGTGGTGTTTTTATTTTTTAATTTAAGTAAAATAGTAATAATTATGATAATAATTTGTAAAAACTATCTGACATGAGTTATATATGAAAAGGAAATAAATTATAAAATTATATTAAGATAAAATACTGTAATTCATTGTGTATAGATTGACACACTCAAAGAGAAATTTTAGGGGAAAAATGTTTTCCTCATTTATAAAACGTATCTGATGTTAGAGCAAAGAAAATGACTAAAACTTGTGAATAAGGAAGAGAAAAAATAAAAAAAAACAAAGACAGGACATTTTGTTTTCCCTTTGATTCATAAGCATTACAAAAACGTGATAATTTTGTGATATATGACCATTTAATTGCTAATACACATTGAGAAAATAAATTTAAATAAAATTAAATAAATATTAAATTATTTATTTGGTTTTAATTTTTGTGTCAATCTTTTGAAATTATTTGTGTAGTTCTGAAAAGGACTATTTGTGAGGAATCTAGGTCAATTTTCTTTGCTCATGGACATCCAAGATCTGAGAGTAGGTCATCCTTATCAAACTCTTCCAACTCTCCTTCATTGCCAGACCTGTAGAACTGATCAAATTCTTTCTTTGTCAGATTGGGGTACAGATCTTTGTGGTTGGCAAGACCATCATTGTCATCTTATGGTACCTCTGTTAAGCCCCATTTCTCTATGAATTTCTTGTATAGGATGTCATCTTTGGCACTGTTAGAGCTTGTTCAAGATGCAGTATCTTTTGAAGGCTTTGACAATGATAGCAGTGTCCAACATTTCCCATGTAGATGTCTTCAAGTTTTCTCACTCTGCTACCCAGTGGGATTAATTTCCCTTTGTTGCAATACATCATTAGATATTATCTCTCCAATAAACAATTAAATCAAATTTGACCTGATATTGTTTGTTTTGAGTTCTAAACTAACGTATAATATACAGCAGATTTTTGGACATGATGCTGGGTAAAAAAAGGAAACAAAAAACAAAACCTGTGTTTTATACATAGAATACTAAAATAAATCCTGCAATGATTTTTGGAATGAATAAAGAAGTGAATAATGAATGCAAAATGTTCCTGAGTATAATGATTCTCATATTTCAAAATTTAATGTTATTGCCTACAAACATTCTTCTTTTGTGAACCATTGTTCCTGTAAGATGTGGGTAATTATGGCTCTCCCCAAATTCTTATCCTCTGTAGCTCTTAGCAATGTCTGTCTTTTTACTATCACTCCCAATCCCTATCCTGCCATCTATTTACACAAGTTCATTAGATCGTATGTTTCCCTTTGTCCTTCCAGCCTCCAGTACAACATGTGAGTGCCAAATTTTCCAAGTCTATTTTCCTGATATGTCCAACAAATTTTAACTGTCTCTTTCTAAGTGTCATTTTAGTTTCCTTTTTCTTTAAAACATCCACATTAGTTACATGCCTTATTCATGGTATTGTGATTCTTTCTGCAGAACCAAATTTCTGTTGTCTCAAGTCTCCTTTTTATCTGTGAGGAAATTACCCAGCATTCATATAGGATGACTGATATAACAGCAATTCAGTACTCTTTTCTTGACTTCCAACAAAAATTTCCTGACTCTAAATACTTTGTTTAGCATTTGGAAGGAATCTTTTACTATTCCAGTACACAGGACCTAATAATGCTGTGCATTAAAATTTCATACATTATGTACATTATTCAGACTGTTATCTTCATCTTCATTGCCTCATTCACAATGTTTTGGCCATTGTACGCTCTGGCTCAAGGACACATGGCCCAATGGATAAAGACATTGGTTAGATCCAGTGACTAGACCCAAAGAGTTGTGAGTTCAGTACCAGGCCACAGCAGTGGTGACCCAAAACTAGAGAGTTGAGTTAAAGCAAAATAACTGAGAAATCTGGAAGATGCATGGCATGTGGAACTAGAACAATCTACTGCATAGGATGAAATAAAGAGCTTGACTTGTAATTCCAATCATCTGAAAAAGGCTGAGCGTGCAATGGCCAAAACCTTGTGACTATGGCAATGAAGATGAGGATAAGTCTGAATAATATAAATAATGCAAGTAATTATAATATCTCATCTCATAGATATAGAAAGATATTAAAATTTCATTCAGAATTTTAATGTAACAACACTTTCAATAGTGAAAAATTTCATTGCAGTGCTGAACTGCTATGCGAATCTCCTATATAGCAGTGAATGCTAGACAATTTCTTCACAGATGAAAAAGAACCTTGAAGTGTCATATGGGGTTCTACTGACAAATGCAAATCATACCTTAGACAGAATGTGTGAGCAAGTAGGAAATACAAGGAAACTGAGGAAAGAGGGTCTGGAGAATTTAACAGGTCTTGGGTAGAGTAGCTCCAGCCCAGATATGGGGTATTGAAGTCATATCTGGGCTGAAGCTGATCAATTCTCACTTTTCAGTCTTAACAGAGTTCAAAATTATTTATGTAGTTTTGTGGGTAATAACTTGTTTTCCACAGCATAATTTTCCCCCACTGATGCAATGTTGCAAACCCATAACTACTTTACCCAGTGACAAATGTTCAGATGTGCTTCATTCTCTAATCAAAATCCAACATTTTTATTACTTTTAACATTTTTTTTGTTTTTAGTGGATACCCATGTTTGAAATATACACTCATTTTTAAAAATTTTTTATTTTAAACAGTGTGTGTTATGTCTGTTCACCAGCAAGCTCACATAAGTTTTCTTGAATGGCTGATAGACTATAGACAGTAATACACACTGTTTTAAAAAATAACAATAGTGTATCTATTTCGGACACAGCTGGTATTCACATTTTTTTAAAAAAAGTAACACTTGAAATGATAATAAAATATGTATAAGCAAAAGTACTTTTTTATGTTCAAGATTACTTTTGTTCAAATGAAATTCTCCAAAAAATACAATATTTATTTCTTCTTTTCTTATTATATATCCCCAAATATCTAATCAGTAAGAGTAAAAGGTTTCAGACTATTCAGCCCCATTGGTGGCTGATGCATCAATGAGATCATTAAGCCAAATGAAAGAGTCAATGGTCCTTGAAAAAATGTTCTAATATATTTGATCTTAAGTCAAGTGAATGAACTCTGGTGTTGGGAATTTCCAAAGCCAACGGAGACTTTGACTAATTATCACATTACTTTCTCTATTAGGTAAACTGCTCACAATGATCAATCACCCAGAATTGTAATGCACACAAGACAAATCCTACAGAAGAACTATTAGGTGATTCTTATCTGTTGGTTATTCATCAAAGCAGAATTTAGATAAGATTTTAGATGTTGAATACAGCAGTTCAGTTTTGGTCACTACAGTTGAGAGCAAAACTATTAGCCTCTAGCTATAAAATTTTATTTTTAAATTTTCAAGTGCTATTTAATAATGCAATGAACTTCTAAATATATTAGAATTTCTTTTTCTATATGCTATAATCCTTCAACATGTGACCAATGATGACTCTCTATCAACTTCCTATCCTTTGGTTTACAGCACATCAATCTCAGTGAGTTATTTAATACTGACAAGATTTTAAGGATGGAATCGTATGAATAATATATATTTTATAAGAAGTTAGTGTGTAGATCAGGTTTCATTGACATATTTTTGTAAAGGGTTTTTTATCGAGAGTCTGGATTATGGTTTATTGGTGTTTTTTTTTTTAATTTTTTTCAAAAATGTATTGTTGGTATTTTTGACCCCAGTTTGGGGGTTCACTATTTTCCCATCGCTGAGACCCTAACAGGTGCTACCACCCCAGGTCATTGCAGCAATTAAGAGGTGGTTCCACACTCCTCAAAACCTCCCGCTCAGAGGCCTTGCTATTGGATGTAGGTTATTGTCATACCCAGGATGATCCTATCCCTCATAAAGCTTGTCTTTTATTTTACTATCCTTCTATGTCTCTGTTCTGCCATACATTTACATGTGCTTGTTAGGTACATTACTCACTGTTACTCCTTTGACCTTCTTGTCTTCAATATGTCCTGTGAGTGTCAAATTCTCCAATGTCTCTTTCTGATTCATTGTTTTTCCTTCCTTTATCCTTAAAACTTCCTCATTGCTAACATACTACCATGGAAAGTGCTCAGATGAACTAGATTTCTTGATTTGGTCAGTTCTATCATGGCTAGGACCCGCCACGTCACTTACACAGTAGCAACCCCACCCATATTCCTTCTGTATTCCAATGGCAAGAAGTAAGTTCTACTCAAACATCTTCTTCATGCAAACCACTGCCCTATGGAACAAATTCCCTAGAGGATGTTTCTCTGATAAGTACAATGATAACCTGTTTCTTTCAATACATGACTGTATTTCCTCACCATTTCTTTCTGCAGTAGACCAGTTGCCATCCAAGACTATAGAACCTGGTCTGTCCTGCTATTTACTCATAGCTGGGGGGAAGGAAAAAAAGAGGATTCATACTTTTCACAAGGTTATTAGCACATAAGTGAATGTAATGCATTTGACTAGAATTCAAACTCGGCTATCCGATTCTTCAATCCAAGCTACTATCCATTACTCTACCATGCATCCAAACACAAACACATGCAAAAACTTGTGCTATGGATCAACAAAAAAGTGTTCTTAAGTGAGGGGAACTAATAATAACAACTTTGGTAAGTTTTTAAATAAAAAAAAAATATATATATATTCTTTCTATATTCTGTTTCTTCTTCTACCACAAATTTTTTTTAAAGAATTCAATTTTCACATGAAGTTACTGTAGAATTGCAGCTCAGACCAGACACTACATTTATTTGCTGGGTGCAATTGCTTCCACTCAAAAGATAACTCTTTGGCCAGATTGTTACCCACAAAATAAAACCATGAGCCACTTGTAGCAGGAAGCAAATCTTATTAGGTTGTAATCTTCGGCTGTAGATGAAGCAAAGACAAGGTGGATGAACAGTCTAATGGGTATGTCTTCCACTTCGCGTTGTGATGAGAGATCTCCATTCCTCTGTCTGCCTCTCTGTCTTTGGCTACTAGTGACCACAGTCTTATTGAGAACAATCTTGTTATCTTTGTCTAAAAAAAGTAATTTAGCAAGAACTGTTGTATTCTTAAGAGGTTACAAACAGACAAAGGTGTTGCTCAAGTGAAGGAACAGCAACACACACACAGATGAAAGAAGAGAGGTTTATTGTAAAAGAGAATACACTACTGAGAAACAGGGAATCTAGTTGCAGGCTAGTAATTCCCAAAGCAAGCCCGCAGGTATATCTTGTGCTCACTATATGTAGCTACTGATATAATCAGTCCACATGGGTTACAACAAGAACTCAGTGACTTTTCATGTCAGGATCATCTGACATAGTTTTTGTGAGAGCCACTTCACTTAGATGATAATCAGCAAAGCAATAACTGATAATAAAAAACAATTTATGTAACATCCCTCAGATGTTTTCATTTAACAAGATATCAGCTGACACTGATATTGCTACATCACCAATATTATACCTGGCCTTCTGTTGCTTTTTCACTGAACAAAAATGCTCTTGGAGAAAAGTGGGAAACTATCTCTTCTCCAATCAGCTATGGGTTAAATATCAGGGTAGATTGGATTCTTAAGCTTTGTGGGGAGGCTAGTCTGACAAATCACTCTGAATTCCAAACCATGGTGAAACCAAGAAGAACCAATATTTTCCCCCAGAAAGTCTTGACAATTTACAGATAATAAAAAAAAGAACTTGTGGAGATGCATGTTTCTCCTGAAGGGAGAGTCCTATATATATATATATATATATATATATATATATATAAAATAAAGTTAAACCAGTGCAATGTTTGTGCCTAATATTTGCAATTAGTTCTTCATCACAGCTTGAAGCTACAAAGAGCAGTTGGTTATGGATTGAGAGTAGGCTGCTGATGTTAGTCAATGTACAAAGTTGAGCAGTTGGCTCTCACCATTGATTGTTGATACTATAATCATACAAAAATCTGATATTTGTTACTTTAAATTTTTCTTGGTTTTCACTTGCTCAGGAGGATTAATTTATTTTTTTTATTTTTACATTTTTATAAATGTAAAAAAAAATTAAAAAAAACAGAAAATTATAATTAAAAAAATGTAAAAAAAAAAAATGAATAAAAAACGATTTAAAAAGATTTAATTTTTTTTACACTTTTTAATGTTTTTAAACTCCTTAATCTTTAATTTTTTTTAAAATATGTTTTAGATTTTTTAAAATCTATTCTTTTTACATTTCTTCTAATTTTTAAATCTTTTTTTAATCTTTTTACATCTTTTTTTTATATTTTTTTAATTGTTTTCTAAATCTTTTTCATGTTATTTTATATTTTTTTGATTTTAATTTTTTTACATTTTTTTTAACCTCTTAAATTATTTTGTTCCATATTTTTTAAATTTTATTCTCCAGGCTCCATTTTTGGAATTAAAATTTGCCCATGCCTCACCAAATTTTGTGATAAAAAGTACATTTAAAAAGTTTAAAAACAGAGAGAGTGCTAAAGGGAGATAACTGCGGATTCAGGGTCAGAACATTATTATTGATAACTTTCTCCTCCAATTTCTGGACCCCAGTTATTATATTATTAATACTAGATACAATGCAAAAATATCACAATGATAAAATCGGCCAATAATTATAACTATTTATACTGGGACTCAAGCATGCAATTACAACTAATCCATAATAATATTTTCAATTTTGAAATTATATATTTATTTTTGGAGTATTAAGAATTGAAATAAAATTGATTAAAACCAAGATTTTAAAAAATGGGTAAAGACTTAATTGAATGATATATTTATGTATTTTTTAAATTTTTTAAAATCTTATTTGATTGATTTTTTTTTTTTCTTTAATAATTACTTTCATCTCATTTTAGCAACCTCCAAATGACTGAGAATATATTATAACAATGCATTCCAAGATAACAGATTTATTTACACATCTCTTAAAACTGCTACCAAGTTTTAAATTCATATCAGTACATTGGAACTTGACAATGTATATTGCCTGTTTTTTATTTATGCCAAATTTGATTTTAACAGTGTATTTACATGCTTCCACTCTGGACTACAGATCCAAAATGAATCTATTAATAACTCTAGTAAGGTCACACACACTTTTGTTTACACTCAATACACTTGGTCTGTCTTGTAAAATAATCTTATTTCTTATATATAAAATTAGTAAATTTAATCAATGAAAATGTCTTTCTTAGTTTAAAAAAAAGAAATAGCAATTTTTCTCTTTTACACAAGAAGAAACAAATCCTAGAAAGTAAATATCCATAGAGGTTTTGTAAAGAACAACATTATGCTTAAATACTGCTAAAATATTACTAAATGTATGTTGCTTATGCTTTAGGTTACAAAAAGATCTGAAGTTCATATTTAGACATTTAACTATCCTGGGTATGTAGATAAACTACAATCATGTTCTGGGTATGATGATAAACTACATCTAACAGCAAGGCCTCTGATCAGGTTTTGAAGAGTGTGGAACCACTTCTTAATTGCTGATGTTTCCAGGTCCACCCAGACCCAAAGTGGTAGCATCTGTTAGGGTCCCAGCTATAGCTAAGTAGTTAACCTCTAAACTATGAAAGTGTAAAAATAGGTTTTAATATCAGAAAAACTTTGTAAAAAATTATTACCAGCAATGCATTTTTGAAGAAAAAAAAATATTACCAGCAAAAAAAATTATTGCCATTAAATCATCCATTTATTTTGATTTGCTGTAAAACAAACCAAACCAATCAGACATTTAATTCAACAAAAATTGAAACTAAATATTTTATATTGATAAGTGACAAAATGAGATGAATGTCTATAGGTTTTGTAACAAAAAAAAATAGCAGATATTGTTAAAATATTACTAAAATCTGTAACTAATTCTGTTTTTTAAAAAAACAAATTGAGGTCATAAAAACAAAACATTTGATTCTTCAGCAGAAATTTAAACAGAAATTTTTAAAAATTAAAAAAAAAATAAAATTTTATATTTTAAAAAATGTGAAGATCATAAACAATGAATCATTTGATTCTTCAGCAGAAATTTAAACCAAACTTTTTTTTTTTACATTGATAAGCAATAAAAATATAATTAAATCAATGCTAAATTGACACCTAATATATTATTATTTATATTCAGACTATTGTCTTCATCTTTGTTATTATCCCAATGATTCAGCTCTTGTACTCTCCAGCCTACATTAGGTGTATATCAATCAGAGTAACATGCAGGTAATTCTGAACTGAACCCTTTATATAATCTATGGTGTGTAAATGGTTCTTGTTCCATTATTCATGTTTCGGGATATCATTTAGTTCTTATTTTTTTTATATTTAACATTGCTCACCTGTTTCCACTGAGGGCAAGTACACATGACCCAAACCAGAGATGGAACTCAGAATCACTGTCACCAAATTCACAAACCAATGCTTTAATCCATTAGGCCATTGTCTCCTAGGAAGGCCAGAGAGCACAACAGCTGATACATTGGGATAACGACGACAAAAATAAGGACAATATTCCATTGGTAAATAGTGTAGATAACAACTCCTCATTCAAAATATTCAGACAGAAATGAATCTATTTTGTAAAGAAAAGTTATCAACAACCCTCAAAAATTAAACTATTCTAGGCTGAAGTTATTTCATTTGAATAATCTTAAAATTTGGAAATAAATTCTTAAATGATTGTTTTTTATAAAATAAAGTAAAATAATAAAAAAAAAATCAAAACAGCATGTATTCAAGATCATAAAATTAAATAACTCCTCTGTACAGAAATTCAGACTTAATATTAGTTTAGTTTTTTTTTTTTTTTTTTTTTTTTTTATGTATCTTGTATATTTTCAATAAGAATGGTTTCTAATTGATGAGACAACCAATGAAAAACAGATTTTAAAAATGAATAAAATTCAAATATTTACCTCATAGCAATGATGACTTCTCTGCGGATTACCATAATAATCTGTACACATGACGTATCTTTCCCTTTTGCCAATACCCCAAGAAACCTCTCCATCTTTGACCAAACATGATGACCATTCAGATACTCTCCAAACAGACTCCTTGCAAACTATTCTTTTGATACAATTGCGTTCTTCTATGAGTGCTGGGCATGGGTAATTGTTCTTTTTATACCTATCTGGGGCTCTTAGGATTGTTCTCTTTCGTGTTTGAACTTGCTGCGAATTGCATGGCTGAAATTAAAGAATTGTTGACATGAACAAACAAGTACCAATTAGTGAAGATATAAGTATGACAGTTTGTATTACCTGAGTTAGACAATTTTATGTCACTCCAAAAAGATACATGTTCTACAAATATATTTTCATATTATTGCTCACAGAAAATTAGAAAGATAATTTTAAAACTTCCACTGCTGCATCGCTGAAGTAGCCTATTTTCTTTGGTTGGGTAGGGGAATAGGAAATTGCTATTTATTGAAAATAAATGACTATAAAGACACTGACAGTAATTTGTCATAGGCGCCACCATTTTGGTTTTGATCAGATATTCTGAAGTACAGACAAAGCTAAATTACACCCAAACACAATATAATAAAAATATATCACAAACCTTGTTGTATTGTATCCTATGATACATATACACTAGTTTGAAAATAGCACTAAGTGCTGCTTAGTTTATAACACAAACACTAGGACAGAAATTTTACAGTGTCTTGAAAATGTATATTTATGTACATCAACAGAAAGCAACATAAGTTCCATAAAGATATATAAATATATCTACAGCAGTGGAAGTTTTAATGTTTTACCTTTCATCCATAATATCAAAACATTAACAGGGACAACATCTTGAGCAATAAACAATACAGGTTTTGATTGACTCGGCCTACTGCTGGTATTTCTAACAGGATCAGGAAGGCAATAAAGAAATACATCTCAGAGATGTGTTTATATTTCTGAGATGAGGTATTATGTACACTATTTACATTGTTTGGTCTATCATCCTCATCTTTGTTGCCATATTTATCCTTGAGGACACATGGCACAGTGGATAAAGATGGTAGTTAGATCCAGTGACAGGATCCAAAGAGTGAGTTCAATACCTGGATAAGGCTGTGGAGAACTTGGAGAGGGAATTAACAGGAGATAACTGATAACTGACATCCATTAGACATGGCATGTGGAACTAGAACAGTCTACCCCAGCAAGCAAAATAAAGGGTTCAGTTTGACATTCGAACCACCTGAAGAAGGCTGGAGAGTATAATGGCCGAAATGTTGCAACAATGTAAATAGTGTATCTTAAGGAGGATTGTATTAGATATAACAAAGGCCTTTAACAAGATGTGGCATAATACTCTCTTGTACTACACATGTTGAAAATCACTATTCTAGTCAGTTAAGTAGAAAATAAATTTCTGTAGTTGATAGCATTTTATTTATTCATGCAGCAATGAGAGAAATTGTGGAGAGCCATTATTTCTTATGTCCTGAGGAGACATAGCACATAAAGAAGAATTCTTATTAGACATGACTAACATAACATTACATATGCTTTACTTTTAGTCACCCACTTGTGTGACTGATAATCCTTTGAACACATCATCCATAACTCGGTCAATCTACATTTTTCTTCCTTTCTGACTAAAGAAATTACCACTTCAGCAATTATTGTTATCATTAAGTAAAATCATCTTTCATTTTAAAGGTTATGTAATGTATAGTCCAGGGTATGACAATAAACTACATTCAGTTGCAAAGCCTCTGAGTGGAGGTTTTGAGGAGCGTGGAAGCACCTTATAATTACTGTTGTTCCTCGGTCCACCCTGACCCAGGGTGGTAGCCTGGACCCTACCAGTCTTTATGGGCAAATAGTGTACCTCCAAACAAAAGGAAAACCCTATAAAAGTATAAAAAATACATTTATCTGTAGTTGAAGGCATACAATTGTGTTCAAAATATTTAGATTTCAGCATTAAATAACCCATAGAGGTGATGATATGCTGCTAAACAAAACCATCCAACCAACATGAAAGAACTCTCATGACATTAATCCATAAAATATCCTACAATTTCTTAAACTGTATTATGAAATATAACTTCAATAAAACTAGCCAATGCCCACAGAGCCATGTAGACCTTAGTTTATTGAGGAGTGTACATAATATGGTATAAACCAGAATTTGAACAAGAGAAGACATGTGGCTTCATATTAACACAACCATCAACAGCAAATATATATTTTTTTTCAATAAGGTTCACACTGAACAAGGCCCAAGAACCACTAGAGGTAGAGAGTTACAGAATAAGAGTTTTGCCCCTTGTGCGGATCACATTCTTCCCTTTTTCAACAGGAGTAGAGGTTTATTCCTTGTTTCCAGTTTAGGAGTGGGTTTCTGGTTCCTTGTAATCTTCGCATTTTCTTTCACACTTTTGAGTCTTAGTGGCTTCATTGCCTTGCTTAGGTTGAATTAACTAAAAATGGAAGGAAAAAAAAAAGAGCCACTCTTTATGGGCATATGCGGAGAAGATCATGGTTAACCTTAGACGTGCATAGGTTAAGATTGTAGTGACTGGAGAAACCTCGTCTTGGAAGTCAATTCTACAAAGTAGTGGTTTGCGAGAAGAATCCTTTCCAGTGGAACTATCATATCTCTAATGCAATACAAGGGAAATGAAGGTGGTTCACTACAATGTGCAGGGCAGGTTTTACCTGTAACGATTAGAACAGATGGAACTAAGGCATGCATTTTTATATGTACTACTATTTCTAATTGATTAATGAATTCCTTTGCATTTTATATATACCGTATTTGATGGCATATAAGATGCACGTTTTTTTTTTACTAAAATATCTTTTAAAATTCCCCTGGATCTTATGTGCCACATGTAGGATTAAAATTTGCAATAGTCAACTGAAATTAGCTACCTGGCAACTTGTATTAACTTAGATTGAGAGTAACTTTCATATACATATTGTCATTATTTAAAAGGAAGATTAAAAGTGTTATCATTAATAATATTAATTATATTAATTTCATCCTGTTTAATATTAGTACTTTGTTTCACTAAAATTATACACAATAAATTCAAATTATATATTTGCAAAATATATTTCTTTCATTAATATTTCTCTTACAATAACTTCCGGTTGCATTGGTATGAATACAATCAGAATTTTTTATATCCTAATTATTCTACTAAGATGTTTACAAGATGTAGGTTGTACAGATCATATAAAGGAAAATTTTTGACTGATTTTAATGGTAACTGGACTGTTTTGCTCAATTGTGATAATTGCTTGATTTTTATTTTGTTTTCTTACCTTTGGATATAATAAAGTTTTTATAGGCTTGTGATCTTTTTTTCCTATTATTTTTCATTTAATTGTAATCATGGCTTCTTTAACTAAAATAATATCTCATCAATATAGCCTAGGCTGTACCATTTACTAATAATTTTATTAATTACTAATTTTTTTTCTTGATTTGCCCTGCTGAAATTGGGGTGCATCTTATATACGGTCAAATACGGTAAATCTGTTTTCTCTCTTCATATCAAAGCCTGAGATCTTACCAAACATTCGAAATTATTAATTAGACTTGATTTTGGTTTCATTTGAAAAATGTTGGCATTTTATTAGTATAATTTAAAATCAGATTATTTATATTCACTATTTAAATATTAATATTATATTAAATAAAATCTTAAAAAAAGAGAATTACTCTGTGTTGCAAAAATAGTTTTCATCTTTGTGTTATTACTAAAATGTTTTGCTCCCCAGCCTTCATCAGGTGGTCATCAATACAGGTAACCTTAATCAAATTAAATATGACCCTCACCTATTTAATCTGTGCATAGATTGTTCTCATTCCACTGTCTAGGTATATATTGTCTTGTTCTTATTTATTACTGCTCATTTATTGCTCACCCTGTTTCCGCTAAGTCTTGTTCTTATTTATTGCTCACCCTGTTTCTGCTAAGTCTGCCCAACCCAGTCTAAGGATTGAGCTCAAAATTACTATATCACCAAATTCATGAACCAATACTTTGATCCACTAGGATAATCCTGAATGTAGAAATTGGAATCTTAAACCTAATCTGCCTGCTGCTGCTTATCATGTTTGACTGCATTCATCAAGGCTTCTTGCTACTGTTGTTGTTGAAGTCTTGCCTCAATATCTCTATCTATTTATTAACAGCTTTCATATTTATGATAATGTCAACAATAATCCAAGTGTAAATAATGTTAACTCCTCATTCCCCATTATAACAGAATATCATTAAAAAGTCACAGATCAACAAACACCTGAAGCAGTCTGGAGAATACAACACCTGAAATATTGTGATGACAACAAAATGACAACTATAGCCTTAATTTAAATAATGTTAACTACTCATCCTAGAAATTCAGTCAGAAATTCAATTCACATTATAACGGAATCTCATAAAAGGCTACACTTATTTTTTTTATATAATTTTGTTTTAATAAACGATTTATTTGCCACTTATTTTTCTAATTTCTTTTATGTAAGAGAGCAGATTAGGATTGCTTTAGTATAAACAGTTAAAGTAAAACTTACTGAAGAAATAATGAAATGGTTTTTCATATCTAACAATTTTGTATTTGTAAAGAAGAAAATAGTAAAGCTTCACAAAATTTACATACCCACTGATGGACTATGAACATTTTAAATGAAATTTATTACCATTTGATTAAATGCATTAGATTAATGACTATTTTAGTGATTTAGGGTAATTGCGAAATTAACCTGTTTCTATACAGGAAATATTCAAGATTCATTGAGAGTATAGTTTGTGTTACTGTCAGTAAAAATTTTATGAAATCTTTTTCTTAAAACTAAAAATTAATTAATTTTTTCAAGTTCACTGTTATTGGTTTCTAGTGTTAATGGGAGTTTCCTTTCAAGCCTTTTGTTTTTGATTGTTTGAATACTCAACATCTTGATTATGCCATTATTTACATCTATATCCATTTTAGTTGGTCGTATTTGCTGGAAGTTTTCAAATGAAGTACTTTTTGATATTTGGTAAAGCTTTTTTTGCAATTTTCTAGTGCCAGTCTACAGAGTCTGAAGGACTCCTAAATGTTTCATCAGTTTGAAACCATTTTTAATGATTGATCTGAGTAAATGGTTTTATATAGATGATAGACATTTTTGAACAAGTTGGATGCCATATGACATCCATGTGAGAGTCTAGACCTGACAA